GTGGGATGAAATATTGGGTCTCCAGAAACAGGCAGTGACGTATAGCACAATACATATACATATAAAACATATTACACTAAGAATGATTGACTAATAGTGATTGAATAGAGATATGTGGGGGCTAATCTGATTTGGGCAGGTTTTAATAGCCTGCTAGCTTAAACACCTTAGATAAAAATGAGGTCATAATGGAGGCTAGGGTCTGACCTCAAGAGTTGGCACAGTTTAAGCAGCCGAGTGCCATCCTGATCCCCCCTTACAGTCACTCAGCCTCATTCTCAGACTGTCCCATTAATAAAACACTCAATCGTAATGCATTAAATTATTTACAGCAATCGTTAAGTGCTGCTATTGGTATTCCGTCACTTAATGTTAATGGTAACCTTTAACCTAATGTGCTAATGTGCTAGCTTTCCCCTCACGCTGTGCTAGCCCTGACACACAGCTAGCTTTTTGCCTCTGTAGTGTGTAGTGTGTAGTGTGTTACAGTTCATGTCACTGTGATGAAAGGTTTCCCAACAAAACAGTGAGCTGCTGACTCAACCACCCGAGATTACGATGATGTCATATTATGTCATGGAGGCCGGGGATTTGACCAGAAACACTGATGGCCTCATAATTCTGCCCTGTTAAGTAGGTTCTCTGCTTTTACTCATCATCCACAGGTGTGCACTGTAATACTATTCTCTGCAAAATTTTTACGTGGCTGGTGTACTGGCTATACTCTGCTAGTTATTAATGGTGTAACAATATGGGAAGGAAAATTTTTAAATGTGTAGATTTATACCAGTGAAATTCACATGAACGTGGCAAAAGGTTTGGGGAAATTTTAATTATTTTAACAGCACATCCCCCTGATTAATGTTAGCTATGTAGTGTGCTACAGAACATATGCACAACCACCCATTTGACAGTTCAGATGTCATCCTAATAAAGGACAATTCCGTCTTCTAGTGTCAGAATGAGCTGGAAACTCAGTGTTGATCTTCTGAATCACTGCTGTGTACAGTTTTTGTGGTGCAAAATGCTATTTGGTTATAACAGAAGTTCCCAGGAGCTGTGGCTGGATGACTAGGAACAAATATATGATATGAACCAAAAAAAAAAAGATAAAAAAGAAGTGCATTCTCATAACATCCCTCAACTCTAATGGTTGTTGCTACATTTTATTTTTTTGCATCTCTTGGTGCTGCTACTTTGCTTCACCATCTCCTGTCTGGGTAAGTTACCAGCTCTCAGTGAAAATGAATGAATGAATGAATTCTGGCTGATTTGTTGTGTGACATTGTGAATACAGGATAACATACAATGTTCACATTACACAGAACTACTGTGAAACATGAAAATAATGTTGAAAACAAAAAATGTCTTGTTATAACAAATTCTACATGCCTTCTTGGATCCTACTTCTCACAGACTGTGCAATCGATTACAGTACCTCTTGGGGTAACCCTTAAAGTTCTATGTAGGACCTTATAACAGAGTGTTTCCCAATCAGAAAGGCCTCCAAGAGCACTTATTGGAAGTTAAGAACCCTTAAATATCCTATGAACCCTTGAACAAACCCTTTCTCTAAGAGTGTATGCATAAACTGGGAAGTGTGAGGTAAAAACTCCAAATTCTTGGTAAGTAAACTGGTACTTGTTATACTTTTAGCATCTACTTGGAACAACTTTCTGATAGGGAAAACTATTGTAGGGTTCTACATACAGCCTTTAAGGGTTCCCCCAGAAGGACAACCAAACATTAATTTACTAAGAGGCTAGAATTTTTCTCAACAACAGGGTTACACAGTAAATCGTCTTTAATCCCTAACAATCAGAAAGCTAAATCTGGGCCAGATGACAGCATGTGTTTGTATCAAATTTAAAAAACAAAGGCTTTAATCCATAATTCATGTCAAACTTTGGGTACTTTCGGGTCCTCGTGAGAAATAACATGTGGGCTTCTACACGGCACATAATAATCCAAGCCATTCAATCCAGAGTCCGAAAAACTAGGTTCAAATTAAGCTTTAAACTGTTCTAAAGATGGCACACTAATCAATATTTTCTTTTAATCTCATTTCACCTCCTTATCCTAAGCCATCGTGTCCTTTCCATGATAGCACAGAGTGGCCTAAAGTGGCCAAATTTAAAGGTGATGTCATGCTAACATGAGTTTATGTCATCCGAACACACACAGCCGCCTTTCAACCAGAAAAACAAGGCAGTCATGTCTGAAAGCATTCATCTAAAAGACACAGAGAGAAAGAGATGTGCATTTAAAATAGGTCGCATTTCCTCAGTCTTATAGCCGTACAGCCTCGCATGCCACCACCAAGCCCAAGAGGAACAGGCCAAGCGTGAATAACACGCCCATGATTTCTGTCTGCTCACACCGAGGGCTGACTTTCACTCATTTTCTCTCAAGGAACATAACCTCAATAGAGCAACTTTCCTGCTAAATGAAGGCAGATTTACTGCTCTTATCTTCTCATAATCTGTAAATAACTGTCCTCATACGCTAAACTGCCCATTTATTCGATTTTATTCCTCTTATACCACAGCAATCTGACAACAATTACAGTTTTTTATTTACATTTAATGTTGTGGAACATCAGTGAAACAAGTTAGTTCCTGTTCTCTCTTACGTTATAGCAGCTATAAACAGTTGTTCCCTCACCAGCCTCTTTATTCTTAGTCTTTAAGTTAATAAGACAAAAAAAATGTCTTCCATTTATGTTTTCCATGTTAGCACAATAGCATTAACCTGCTAGTGAAATGTAGCCACCCAGGTCTTTAAACTGTGTAAAATTTTCCATGTATTCAAATTGGAAATCTCTAGAGACTACTATTGACTTCAATATGAGTAGAAATTATAAATTTACAGTAAATACATCAATGGTTACATGTTTGATTTTGCCTAATGTGCAGAAGAAAAACAGCCTGCATTTTAATATTTACCAGACTTCAGGGTGAGATTTTACGACAGCGTGGTTAATCTGTCGATGGCCAACCAATAGCAGCGTGTCTAAGACATGGTGTGCCTGTGAAAGTAATTATCCACCTAATGGATTTGTAACAGGTCCACAGTGTTCGATTAGCTGCTGCCATGTAGTACTGAATGGCCCATAAACGAGATTTAACACCCTCCTGTCTTTTGTTTTTGCAGCCCTTTTGAATGATGTCATATCGAGGAGGTGGAGGAATCGATGGCACTGAGTGTATTTAGATTGATCTGATTAAATCCGATGGTCAGTCAGTGAGTCTGTTATCCAGTCAGGCACAGACATCGCTTGCTGTGGGTTTGTTGGATGGATGCTGTCTGTTCAGTTTGTTTCTCTCCTGCTGTCTTATTAGATTAGATCAGACTGGCTTCATAACTCTGTGAAATGCCGGAGTTATGAGGTAGACCTTTATCCTCAGGTCCATAAATGCTTGTAAAATGTCCAGTGCTCCCAGCGCAAAGAGCTCTTATTAAAAATGCCACGAGGCCAGAAATCATAAAGCTCAGGGTCTTGATTCATGTCTGACTCTAATATTGCATTCAGATGTAATAAATACACTCAGCCTTCTAATGGGACTTTTTCAATTGCTGTTTACTTTGTAGCCAGTTATGTAAGAGATAACAGCCAACCCAGTGTCCTGACCTCATATCAGGAAATAATCAGCAAAGCAGAGGCCATTTTTGTTATTTTATGATATTGGGATGCATCTCATTTACACCACGGCTACTTACGAGTGTTTAATAATGAAGATTTAATAATGAAGACCCTTACCCTTGCAGGCACAGCTAGAGCTCTCTCGTTGCTTTTCATTAAAACATTTCCATTTTCATTTCCATTTTCTAGTAGGATCATTGCAACATAACAAAAACCTATAGTATAAACATTTATAGTATGAAATGAATATGAAATAATTTAGGAAATGTATTTAAAAATTAAATTACAATAAATTCAATTAAAGTTTAAGATAAATAAACAAATAAATAATCCCTTGTGTGTTTTCTTGTTGTACTAACAGGGTTTCAGATTGATTGTATTCATAGACTTTAGCATAAGGACATGCTGGATAACAGCATCTGCTAAATGCTATAAATGTAAATGTAGAATTGTAAATATGGGTCTAGTTTCTTCGTTTTAAACTAACTTCTCTCATTGTATGGCTTAGGACCAACTTTATACCCTGATATACCATCAAAATTACACTCAAATGATGCAACTGGCTGCAGATGTAAACTACCACTCTGATGAATACAGTTACAGATGGCACATATGTTATGTACCATTACCATTACATGCCATTAATAATTTTGATAACATTTTAGTACAATATTGCATTAATATTGTAAACTCTAAATATTACAAGATGCGATTTTTAATTTTGGCACCCACCTACTGGTGACTGATGCTTGTGTAGGCTTTGTAAATGCAGAACAGCTTACTTTTTAGACCACAGCCTCCTTCAGGCCAACCGTAAGCAGTAATTTTGCATCTCAGGGTTTAATTTTCACAGATGATGTAGGCATTATGAGCTTCTGGGCTCAAGCAAACAACAGAAAGATAATTCAGTTTTGTCTTGTAAAAGTGCCCACACACTTGCTTGTGCTCGGTTTTGCTGTCTCTCTCACTCACTTTGGAGATTCTTTCTCCATAAATAGACAAATCTCTTGCCTCCTTACTGCTCGCATTGTGATCCCCGAGAGCAGGAATGCTTGGTGAAGTGAAGAGGAGTTAGAGGAGTTGACATGACAGCAGAGCATACACATGTGATAACAAAATAGAGGCTATTTCTGTGGCGCTACTCTTCTGTAAAAAGCAAACAAAACTATACCATTGTCATTTATGCATCACGAATCAACAATCCAACTTGTAAATTTAGAACAAGATGCATAACAAGCAATTTATACATCTGTAGCATGGCAATAGTTTTTAGTGTACACACATTTTCAAATAATTTAATAATTTAATTAACTTTTTAGATATAATATTATGCATTAACAGAGTGGCATCATGTGTGTCCCTGGAGGACTAGTGGTTAGTTCTCAGCGCTCTCAGCACCGCGGCCTGGGTTTGATTCCTGGCCAGGGAACCAACCCCAAGCCACTGGGGTTGACATGACTCATGGGGTTGCACAGCACTCCCAGTGCTGGTCCCAAGCCTGGAAGGGCCAGATAAAATATGCAGACCAATGATCTGCTGTGGCAACCCCTAATGGGAGCAGCCAAAAGAAGAAGAACAACAACAGCGTGCCATTATATACAAATAGCCACAAGTTAGAGTTTGTGTTTTAATCCTGTTCCCTTAGTTGGATTATCCGGCTTAAACCATTCCAATAATGAGATGTTTCTTTGGAAAGCCTCAACCTGTGATTGTACTGGTTTCTAAATGAAGCATGAAAGTTGTAAGTGTGTAAATTGTGATTCCTCAGTGCAACATGAAAGCTGTAATGGAATACTAACAAATAGTTTGTGGTATAATATAGTGTGAAATACATACAGCATAGCAGCAAGTAGCTAGTAGTACTACAATAAGCTGGTATAGTATCAAGTAGGTAGAAGGAGTGTAGTGAAAAATAGTATAATAACAAGCAGCGAGTAGTTTTATAGTAGTAGTAACATACTATAGTAACAGGTAAAGTAGCAGTATAGTAATATGTATAGTAGCTAGTAGAAGTATAGTAACAAGTAGCTAGTAGCAGTATATGAAAGCCTAGATTGTTCGCTTCACATCGCATCACTGTTGCCATGGCAACAGAGCCATATGTGTTTGTTTTGGTTATTCTTCCTGTTTTCTTATATTTTTTTTATTATAGTATTAAGTAGTAAGAAGTAGTAAATAGGAATTAATGGTATAGTAACAAGTAGGATAGTAACAAGTAGTAGTATAGTAACAATTATAATAAATTCAAAGCATTTGTTTAGTTGTGAATCTTTCCATTCTTCCTTTTTCTTCCTATAACTACTCTGCACTTCTTTTTTGGTTGTTTGGTAAAACCATAAGGCTGCTTTATGCTGAAAGAATGGATCATTAGCTTTGCTTCACATTACTGTTCCCATGGCAACAGAGTCATATGCTATGCTTTTGGTTGTCCTTCCTGTTTCCTGTCATGTATTTTTATTTATTAGTCTTTATTTTCTTAATTGTTCTTAGCTGTTACTTGATTCCCTTGATGCATGAGTTTAATATGCATTAGTTTAAACCCTTCGTTTTTCCCGGGCTTGTAGTAATGTTTCCTGGTTCGTGACATTTGCCTGTCTCCTCATTGTTAATTTGAAGCATTTCTAGATTTTTAATCTCAAGCTTAAGAACTGTATGCTTGGAGTGGATCCTGTCTTATTTGTAACCTGCTTGACGTTTGCGCTGGAAAGGTCTCCAGTCATTCCCTAACTCTTGTTTGAGTTAACAGAAGAAAGACAAGAGGTCAGAGATGGAGGGAGATGTGCTCTCCTGTTCTTCTCCCTCCACAGCTTGATCCATCTCAGTTCTCTCGCTCCTCTTCCTCCTCCTCACTGAGATCAGTGTGTGTTTTATCCTCTCTGAGGGACGGCTCCTCTTAGTCTGTTGATGTAGCAGCTCGTTTCAGGCCGAGGCGTTGTTAAGTGTAGCTTTTGGAGGTGAATATGTAGGGTTTTTTTTTTAACTCTCTCCCTCTCTCACACACACACACACACACACACACACACTAGAGGAGCTTATTATCAGTGCGCTCACACCTCCTCTGTGCTAACGGATGACGCAGCAGTGTTTGTGGTGTGTGCTGCCACTGAGACTCTGTGTGTGTTTGCACCTTCCTCTCTAAATTTAGGTTTAAGGGCTTATTGGCTCCCTGCAGGTGATACCATATGGATGTGTGTGTGTGTGTGTGCGTGTGTGTGTGTGCGCACTGTTTCCCAATTCACTGCATCCAAACACTGCATACTGAACTGATTTAGTTTGCGGAAAAGTGAATTTACGCATATTTTCATAATTAAAAAGAGCATTGTCTATATATATCTTTTTACCTTACAGAAAGACCCAGTGTTTTGCTTTGTGTAACTTTTGAGAGCATACATTTCTGAGTTATTGTTTTTTTATATAGGTCTTGTGTTGTGATGGTGTTTTAAAAGCACAATTACAGTGTTACAATTGTTGTACTAATTCACAAATACACTATACATTTTCAAAAATCAGTAATTCTGACAGAGAATCATATAACCTACTATATCTATATATATATGGTAAGAATGGCAGCATATTGACAAAAGCAGTTTAAAAGGCATAGTAATAAGTACCTAGTAGTAGTACAGTATAGTGATAAACATAGTAATACGTGGCTAGTTTAATACAGCAATAATTATAATAGAATAGTAACAAGTAGCGTATACAATTTGTGTAGTACCAAGAAGCAAATACTAGTGTAGCAACAAGTGTAGTATTGTTAGACAGAGATAGTGTTTGTAAGTTAGAAACATGTAGAATGTGTGTAGCAGTATAGTAAGAAGTAGCTATTATTACTGTAGAATAGTAACATACAACTTTTTAGGATAGTATAGTAATGAAATGTCCACGTGTACCATAGAGTATAGTAACATGCAGCTTGTAATCGTGTACTAGCTAATAGTACTGGTACATTAACAAATATCTTATAGTATATTAATGTAACACATACGTACAGTAGTACTATGATGAAATGTAATGATTTTTATAGCGTTTTCACCCAAAACTGACTGAGTGTTACTACTTTACTACTTGAACTAAAAATATCTGGGTGCAGATGCTGTTTGTCAGAAGGTGTGATAGCAGCACATCTTTAATTTGTTCGTGAACAGATTTCTGTCACTCTTTTTTGTGTGGATGAAGTTAATTTCGTGTGAAATTAATTTATAACCCTTTGACAGAGAATGATAATGCTTTTCTAGAAGCTGAAGGTAATGATTCTGGAAATATGCAAAAGAAATTCTAAGGCTTTTCTTTTCATAGAAAAACATTAATCTGATTAACGTCAAGAGTTAACAGGATAACAGGGACTAGCTTGTCTGACGGACATTCCACAACATTAAATGTAGCAATAAATGGATAAAATGTATGACCTTTAATAAATAAAATAGCAGTCCAGCTGAGCAGAGTGTTGTTGTTATCTCAAACATGTTTGTCATGCTACAGCATGTTATTTTACAGTGAGGTATAATTATTATTTACTCTCTGTGTCAGCTCTGGAACATTCAACACCTGACTTACAGTCACGTCTACTAACCTGACAGAACAACCAAGGACTGTTTTTATTTCATCAGTCAGCAATGACTCCTATATAATTTAACTGTTGTAAAGAATATATCCTCACATTGCTATTAATAAGTCATTACATCATTATAACTGCGCTGATAATTCTTAGTAAATCAGTAACAATTCCTTGTAAGCAATTTATAAACTCTAATAATGCCTCATAAAGTTCTAATAATGTGCTATAAATAATAACAACTTATAATCATGTTTTTACACCATGGCGCTGTGGAATTCTCAAAGCTGAAGGTGTTGATTAATTTTCTTTAACAGCAGCTCTGACAGTAGTTCTGGCTGTAACATAAATGAGAGGTTTATATTAATGTGCTCGTTCGAACATGTTATTGTTTCTATAGTAACAGCTCAGTCTCTGTGCGCCACATCGAAGGCTAATAATAACATTTGGTAAGCTTTCCACTCTGGGAATAAACTTCAAGTCAGAGGACTTTGTCCTTTGCAATTTCTTGATAACATGACAAGCTGCATCATGTTTTCTTTTTTTTTTGTTTGTTTGTCTTATTAACTTCAAGAGAGAAAAGAGAGAGGGTTAGGGTTAAGGTTAAGTTTAGGGTTAGGGTTAGGGTTAGTATAGTATATAGGGTTATAAATATGGGCTGCTGGTGAGGAAATGGCTGTTTATAGCTGCTATAAAGTAAGCGAGAACAGGAACTAACTTTGTTGGCAGGTTGCTGTGGTATAAAAGGAATAAAACACTTGGGGATGTGCTGTTATAGGAAAATAATCAGCTTCTGGTTGGTAACAGTAACTCACATCAGGCTGCATCACACTAAACCGTTGTGGATTATTTTCCTATAACTGCATGGCATATCATGTTTTATTCTTTATTTATTAGAGTTTAGAAAAATGGTTACAGGAAATCATTATCAAATTAAACCAGAAAAGTCTCGGTTCTCAGTGTAAAACTGTTGAGAGGTTTTATCGCTGTTAAAATATATGCATGCTGCATGCTGTATGTGAATATGTGCCTAAGAAGCATTAACCTTTTTTGCTGCTTTTTTGCTTTTCTTGCTTGGTGTTTCGACTTTGGTGCCCATCTGTGTCACGCTGTGAGCATGCCCAGATAAAGTCAAGGTCAGGTGTGAATAAATACACTGTTCACATGCTTTGTGTGAGCATCTCTGTGAATAAAGAAACACCCCCCACCCTGAACAATGCTTCACAGTTTATTTAAATAAGTATTTTTTTTTTTATCTAACAGTTGGCGAGCCAGCCAAGAGTAGAAAAGTACAAGACACGAGTTAAGGACGTTGTGAAACTGCAACAATAAGACTACAGAAGAAGATGCAAGCTGGTCCAGGCTGTGCTTATATACACTCTCAGGATAATAGGGTACTAAACTGTACCAGTCCTTGTTGCAGTGCTTGTAGGATCAAGTGTGCACCTTTTCTACCTTTAGTACTTTCATTTCCCTAGAGAGGTGTATGTGATGTATATAAAGAATGTACACTCTATCCACATTTCCATGGGACAGATGCATGACAAAGGTACTAAAGATAAAGACACCCCAGTGATAAGTACAGTTTATCATGATGCAGGTACAGACGCAAGTGCATGTATTCAATGGTTTATTTAGAATGGCAGACAAAACAGAGATGTGATCTGAAGCAATGTCGAGATTCAGGGAAGGGTCAGGAGACAAGCAAACAACGTGAACTAGCACAGGCAAGAGCAAGACGAGAAAACCAGAACGAGAACAAAACCAGAAGGACAGTCTATAAACAGCAGCTCAGGTTAGACTGGTACAGAAACACAGAGCGTATATTTCGTACTGAGTGAGTGAGTGGAGCAAGAGTCCCTATATACTGTGAG